GATTGATTTCATCCATGTTTTCATTATTGTTTTTGTTTCCCCTCATTGGCCAGCCATCATCACCATTGAAGACGTGCGACAAGTGAGCGACGGATTAATGGAAAGATTATCAGCAGGTTCAGCTCGTCATTTGCTGCGCATATAGTGAATGTAATTACGTCTCCTCTGCTGCAACCTTGCATCTGGCGCATCTGTGCACATCTATGTACTGTATGCTTCGTGCTTGTGGGGTTTGGGATTATTACTCTCGCTACAATATACTGAAAGAGTGCAACTTGGGTAATCAAGAAACCATCTACACTAATAAAATGAATTGTCTTACTCAGGCCCCTAGTCACTCCCCAATATCACAATCATGTGCCTTATCGACGACTGTGTAGGTACATAGCTAATGATGCACTATACAGCTCCATTGCATACCTCCAAAGGTCTAACTGGACACATCATCCCTAGTGTCACAGTAGAGCATTCAGGGCCCTGTGCAAATTAAAGGCTGTCTTTTCCATTTGGCCGTGCTTGTGCGCCTTTCATGTATCTTGCCCGTTATGGTCAAGGGCGAAAAACAAGCCATGGACTGCCAGGTGCTGGTGATTGGGTGGTGTAGGGCGACAGTGGAAGCAGGCAGGGCAGGATGATGGCGCTGACCTACCTGGCTTCCCGTAGTCGAAATGCGGTCATCTGGCAGCATACCATCCGGTCTCAAGCACAAGCTGCGCGTCTTATTCCCGTCGAGATGTGTGCAGCCGTCAGCCCGTCCAATACCAAGAGGCCAACCCATCTTCCCTTGCCCTTGCTCAACCTACCATAGTTTGACCTTTTTGCGGTAGAGGTCTCCCCGGCTCGTAAGCCAGCCGGCGCCACTTCCTGCAACAACGTCGTCCTCGTCGCTCGACAGTTCAGCGACGAGGGCGGAGTGCGAGGGTGGGAAAAACAAAAAGAGTCGCCGGACTACCGGTCTTCCCACACAATCTAGTTCGCAATCCATAACCTTTCCGCCAAGGTGCGCTATGACGAAACATCAAGCACCTATCTAGGTATGAAGCGGTGCGCTTTCCAATTGAATGTGATAAAATGTATTGTCCAACTCACCGGTGAAGCTGCGATTGCATACATTCATTACCTAGACGTTCCTAGGCGCCCGGCGACGTCACTTGGAGTCCGCTATCATCAAGCACACACTCTGTTTGGATTTTTGAATTGCAACAATGTTTTCATGTTTGAAGAGAGGGCTTGCTTGGTCTTCAATTGGAAAAAAAAAAAAAAAAAAAGGAAAGGGTTTCCAGACTCAGGACAGGGTTTTAGTCAGAGGCGGTACAATAAAGTCTCAGCCCAATACCTCAAGGACCGGTCATATTTCATGTGCTCCAAGATCTTTCAATCTGTGTAGAAGAGTGGGAGAAAATACGACATATGATATTGGAGAATGCATTTCCAAATCAGCGCAGCAACAACTACGTCAGACTGTTTATGTTGCAAACAGCAACATATTTCCCGGAAGTGGCACCGCAACAAGAAGGACGATGAGCGGCTCAATAGGTAGGTATATCTATGCGGGCTGCGTGGATTTCGTCGTCATATGCAACGTTCGGTGTCCTTCCCCAACGCCTTGTCCGTTCTCGTACTGTTTAGCATTTTGGGGGGTGGTTGATGCGCCATTACTTGGGGTTTGCTACGTGAGGTATACATTACCTACATACCGCTACCGTGAATACTACCACATACATATATTGACGGAATTTGGTTTTAATTGACTGGCTACATTACACTCAATCTGTCTGGGTTCAACATCCTGTATGATGTCGACAATCAGAGCAACAACAATCATTCTCGTGTCCTACAGACATACACTTTAATCTACATCATTTCTTCAACAGGGTCCGCAGGCACATGCATGACATGAAAGTAATATCATATTTGCAGAATCCATCTGCGTGCATGCCATCACATAGCAGCCTCACATAATGTAAAATCAAGCAAACTGCTGGTCCATGGTTCCTCGTCCATGCCTCCTCTTCTCCTCCGGGCCTTGCCTTTGTCAAGCGACGACTAATCCGTCAAGGAAGAAACTATCCATATTAAGAAAATAGTGGCAATACATGTCATAGTTGCCATTTGAATTTGCAGATTGGATAATAAATAGATTCCATGTGCGTGAAAGCATCATACAGGAAGCCAAACCCTGGCATTCAGAGATGTTGGATTGCTGATGCTGGCTAGTAGCCTTCCATGGAGCCTTCTTGGGTGACGGTGCCTTAGCCTGGGACACACACCAGAAGGTTGGTAACCTACGGGGAACTTTACACTTTCTTACCCAGAGCAGAACTCCTCACAGTTGGGGCGGCTGCCCGCCCATTGCTAGTGGTCACATGTTCTACCATTGTTCCTTTCTCCCACTGTGCCATTTGAGTGGGTGACTGGTACCTAGTGGGCTCCTGTTCCCAAGCAAACTGCCCTAGCAGTTGGGGCAATTGGGGCAATTGGGCCTAAAAAGGTACGGTAAGTCAGGACCCAAAAAGCTCAGCACAGAGCACTTTGGCAATTGCTGCTGTTCAAAAGTACCTCTACTCAACGCTATGCCTACTAGCCGGTACCCACCCTTACTCTCTACCGGACAGGGCTCCATTGAGACAAGGATTCTGACCCGTCATGTATCACCCGTGACGTAGCTGTCGAGGGGACAAGATCCAGTTGAAGGGGGGCATTGCTCATGGGCAGCACCTATCCCCATCCCGACGACCAGCAGGCGCACCGTGCAACAAAACCACGGCGTGGGATTGGTATTGTAGCTTGTTCTTTTCTGACGGGGACGAGTGATAATCTGGCATATATACACGACAGTCGAGAAAGAAAAGAAAAAGCTCATGGATACTTCAGAGATCGTCACTGGCCGTGGGTTGGGTAACGCAGCTCCAAGCCCAGACGGCTCAAACAAGGAAGGCAAGAACTGGTTAACCAAATTCCTAGTAAATTCCACCAACGTTTAAAAAAATAATAAAAAAATTAAGAAATGACACTAGAACGCCAACGGTACTTTGTACGCAGGCGTAATCTACGGTCATGGTGCCCTTTCCTCCTTCGGACCCTGCATGAGAGACTTTCCTCTACCCTCGACTCCCGCATCAGTGGCGTCCGCTAACGGCAGCCTTAGGCGCACTGTTTTTTTTTTTCTTCCTCTTTCCTCCCTTCCTTTTTCCTCAATCGCCCCCCTCTCCCTCCATCTCACTAAGAGAAATCGGGTCCACCGCCTGGTGGGGAAAGAAGAGACGCAGACGCCAGGTGACAGGGTATGGCATGCACAGTGATCGAGAGTGGATTCAAAAGGTTCAATGAGGTTAAAAAAAAAATGAAGAAAAAAAAAAGAGTGAGAGAAGCACAGTGATTTGAGTGAGCGACAGGGGAATTCTCCGTCCCTGCTAGCTCTGAATGACAACCCCTACTTTTTGCACCAAAGATCCACTACACCACTACCACTGCAATCCACTCAGAGATACCCTGTTGGCTTCTCTTGTTTTGTCTTTTTCTGTCGAATTGGCTCATCTGTGTACGTACTGCGTACTGCAAGATGGAGTGCTTCAACTGTGTGTGCAGCGTATCAACTAACTGGCATCCGGCATCCAGCGTGGCATCCCACATCGTTCACAGTCCGTCCGTCGAACGTACCCCTGTTCCCTCGTCCGCCGGTTCGTTTTTTTCTTTTCTTCATCCCTGTCCCTCTCTTCTTGGCCCTTTTACACAGTTGCTAGTTGGTGTCTCTGGCTGACTGGACAGAAATGGATGCTGGTAACCAAGCTATTCAGGTTAGACCCAGGACCCTGATGCCCTCCCCCCCCATTACCTAGTTGGTGTCATGTCCTTCCTACACTAGAAGCGGGTTGACAAGACTATGACTAGAAAGCAAAAGTTACGTAGTTACATGTTTACGTACCTACTTGGCACTCAAGCCCAGCAGCATCATAGGTTGCCCGCGTGGAATTCTTGTAAAGCCTGACCTGCCTCCTCGTCCCTCCAGCGGCATTCTTTTACAACCTCTTCCAAATATTTGTAAAACATACAACAACAAGAAGAAGAAAATACCCAAAACATAAAACATAACTGCAACGACGACTACCCCGGGTAATAGAGACATTATTCACAATCAAAAACAAAAAGAGTGTCCTTGCCCGCCCCATCTATATACCCTCTCCACTACATATTCATCAGTTGCACGGAAGCACCGTCGCCTCGTTGCTATATTCTCCTAGTCCCGGGACTCGTCCAACCAAGTCACGCTTCCCCCAGATCTGGGACCACTGCTGATCTTTCTCCCTTTGGTCCTGAAGCGAGCCACCAAAAGAACTGCTCCACGGGCCTCTCTCTTTCACTGCCCAGCATCCAGCAAGCAGCTAAAACCGTTGCCGTTCAAATTGGACACCGTCTTTCCCAAATTTCAGCCCGGCTCGATCTGGTCATAACGCTACCCTCCCAAATAACTGTCACAACCCTGGAGACTTGGCTCCTCAGTACGGGATATTGAACTGTCGATCACTTCTCCTCGACATTCGTCACTGGGTACTGCGTGCTCAAGGGCCTTGTCTCCACCTGTCCCGCTGACTAGCAAGCGATAATAAGCTTCAGATGGTTTGGGGGTAAAGCAAAGTACCGACTGGCATCACCTTGTACCTCCCACTCATCCCATCTATATACGAAACCCCTGTTGCATGAGTCTCTCCAGTCTCCTGCCAGACACACACTTAAGGCTCGCTGATCCCACCTCCACGAGTCGCTACTTGGATTCACTTCTACCATCGGATCTTCAAACAAAGTTCAGTCTGCGTCTACTATTTCTTGTGACACGACTATTCTGTTCCTTCTTCGGGTCTTCTACAGCTGATCAGCAAGAAAAACCAACGTTCAAACCGGGGACTTTATCTCATTGTTGCCATACTCTCGGTACCTACAACGGCCGGCCAGGAAGCTCAACTTCCTATTATTACTATACCTTCACATTCTTTTCGTCAAAGATGACAATGACATTGGATCACCAACCACAACGATACGGCGCCTTGCACTTTGACCACATGTCTTCCTACCACACCCCAAGCTTCTCCAACCCGTGGGCCTCGGCCTCGTCGCCGCCCAACCCCAGCCAGGGCATGTATCAACAGCCACTCAGCGGTCTCGATATTCTTGCAAAGCAGCACCCAAGCAGGACAAGCGCACCGAGCAGCTCAATGGCTTCGTTCGGCAGCATCCCGGTGACTGCAGCATCAGCAGGTAGCACTCTCATGGCCGACGTCTATGGACAACAAGACTTACTCAATATGCCACAAGATCTTCTAAGCCTCAACCGCTTGCAAACAACATCGGCCGCCTACGGCGAGCCCGCATATGCCACCACGAGCGCACCCTCAGTACACTCGACGTACGCCGCCTCGCCTCCATCCTTTGACCACGGCGGTCTTCCTGGTTACGCTGCTGCACCAGTCCGGTCCACCTTTGCCTTGGCTCCGGAGGCCGACCACAGAAGGTATTCCCAATCATCCGTTCCTTCATCAGTATCCTCGTCCGACTTTGGTACCGACGACGGCCTACACTCTTCCAGGAACTCGGTAGTTGACTTCAATCATAGAGGAATCCCACAGGATGATCGCCGCAGTTTCGCAGATGCTCTCGACGCCGGACACGGTATGCTCGCCATGAGCCAAGAGACTCCCAGGGCCATCTACCCACCTGCCAACCGGGGACGGGGATCCGCAGACTCGTATGGCTTCCCTTCGGCACACTCGACCAGCTCTTCCATCTCCTCGGCCAGCAACTATGGTAGCGGCAGCTACTACGGAGGATCCATCGACTCGTCCGTTAGCGATTACTCCACCGCGGGCTCCGACATTGAATCGGTCACCTCGAGGACCCTGCCCCGGCCGAACAACTTGATGACCCAGCCGCCACCGGCGCCCCAGTCGATGATGGGCCAGTTCAGCTCAAAGGTGTCGTCGAGCACGCAAAAGAAGCACAAGTGCAAGGTTTGCGACAAGCGCTTCACCAGACCTAGCTCTTTGCAAACACACATGTATAGCCACACTGGTGAGAAGCGTAAGTGGTTGATTGCTCGGATATCTGCGCTAGTCCTATTTGTACTAACACCCCACCTCAGCTTTCTCGTGCGAGGTCGAAGGCTGCGGAAGACATTTCTCCGTTGTGTCCAACCTGCGAAGACATAGAAAAGTTCACAAGAACGACGCCAAGTCGGATGCTGGCTCCGAGGATCACCACGACGAGTCGGACTAGGTCAATTCACCTGAGAGCTGACTGGCCTTTACTCCACGACATGTATTGGTTTTTGTTTCCCACGTGTTTTTACCATTTACACCTGCATCGATACCTCGAAAGTTACACCGCTTTGCCTCAAAACACCATTTAGACAAGGCAAGCATGGAAGAACTCCAAAAAAAGTTTTCCACTTGGGATGCGGTTACGATCGCTTCATGAATCAATCATGATGCGTCGCACCTAGCCGCAATGTCATTTATTTTTTTCCACCACCAAAAGTGTGGATCTTCACGGCAATTTCATGAAGAGCGCCAAGGGTAGCGTCGGTGCTTATAGATATGGTGTCGAGCGGATTCGTTTCCTGGGGACGCACTTTTTCACGTCTCTCGCTCGCGGATATTTGGGTCATGGGGTTCACACATATTTCGAGGATTGGTTGTATCTCAATTCGATACCCCTCGTACGGCGTTCAAGGGATTTTTTTTTTCATGGGGAAACTTTTAGGGTCGTCACCAGCCTGGGGTGTGCTGGTGGAGATGGGGTATGTTTTGCTTTCGTTTATTATTTTCGACGGTCACACTACTACTACTGGAGCGAACATGGACATGCTGCAACTCTCATGGGTAAAGGCGTTCGCACAGAGCAGAGGAAGAGGAAAGGATTGGAATGATGATCACTGTACAATTAGCTGCACGTATGTTGCGTTGCATATACCCTGTTGTAAGGGCAGAGCACTTTTCTCGCTCGCAAGAAGACGGATCTGGAAAAGACGGCGGTCGCGTGATAGGGAAAGCTTACACTCGCTTACTGCCTTGTAATTTAATGGAAGAGAAAGATCTTGAAACCGTCCTTCGCTTGTTCACATCACCTGTTCACCCAGTATTGCAAAAGCCTGTCGATCATGAACACTTGCTCGGCGCTCAATGGACAAGCTGTTTACTGTACACGGCTCATATATGGGATCGGCATAATCATCCCTACCTCTGAAGACGGGGCCGGGTTCGAACCGAACCTCGCTTTGCGCAAGAGCGGTTCTTTCTACCCAATCACATGTACAGATATGGACGAACCATCTGGAGATGGGACAGCGCGGGGTTGGCGACTATGGCAGTAGCAATAACAATTCCGTAGCGTGCTTAGGGTCATCTCAAATTGCAACCAACATCCATCCATCTGCTACATTACCTAGGACTAAGACAACAGACTAGCATTGGACACTGGACACGGGGCAATGCCAGAGTATACCAAACCCACTGAAGGGGGCGAAAAACACTACATAGTACACACCAGCCAGCGCTTCCAATACGATAAGGCGCCTACAGGGTGCACGAACTTTTCTAAACCTGTCCCATAGTATGCCACATATGCGCAGTCAGCAGGGCTCAGCTCAGCTGTATGTATTGTAACATGATGAAAGGGAACCAATTGGGCAGCAAAAAGAGAAAGAAGGAAAAAACGACGAAAGAGAAGAAGACGTAACCAGCCAAACCAAGCCAAACCCGATATTGGGAAGCACTTCGGACCGAAACGGAAATAGATCGTCAATACAAAGTAGTGATGATAGTAAGAAACTCACAAGAATTATACACCCGAGTCACACACCTTGAACAATGGAGATAGATGGAGGAAAAGTACACCACACACAAATAGGGGTCCCCGCTAAGAAGCAGAGGAACCGCCCCCGGCTCCGCCCTGTGGAAAACCCAAGGTGAGCGTGTTTCATGTTCTGTACGTACTAAGTATTCTCCCACCCTCCCTACAGGTGCTCAAGCTCTCTTCCATCATCGTATCCAGGCTATTCCATACTTGGTATATAGCATATGCAATTGTGGATGTTATACTTTCTCTTTCTCTTGTTTCTCTCTACTATAGCGGTAAGCGTATGCGAAAACCCTGGGGCTTTCATACACACAAAGACCTAACACACTGCGTTGGGTTACCAGCAGGTCCGTCCCTTCCCCATACACTACTACGTACACAGAAAAAAGTTGCGCGCGCATGTTGCGGATTCGCAATTGTAATAGCTGGGGGACGCTTTCTCCATTCTACCACTACCGAAGACGCTGTTGCACGTGGTCTGTTAGTTGGGCATTCGCAAAGTGCGAATGACATGCACAAACTACTCCTCACACCATGGCCTTTTTCGTACCTATAGCGAGTGGTACCGTAACAGATTGCCTCGTTCTTTGGACTAGATGAGAAAGTATCATCGCTCCCCCGCTGGTGGTGATTTTCCAGCTTCTTACTCATCCGGCTCATGCCGCATTATAACTGTTTCTCTCTGTCTACAAGGAGTCTCTCATTCCGCAGTTTTTTAAGCCATAAGACGAACTCTGCGCCAAACGGCGTCAAGGATTGGGGGTGAGTGGTGGGCAGGGGGCCCTAATCATGAAGGGCTGACCAACCGTATCGCAACTTATTTTGATGTTCAGTTGCTTGAATCAAGCAAGCGTGGCAGTGTGACTTTTTTTTTTTTTTTGCCTTCCCTTGCCCTACCTCTTGATTCCTTCCCCGGGGGAGGCAAAGACAAGGGGAGGAGGGGAGGGGGCGTTTAGCACTTTTTGGTTGTTGTTCGCGCGTGAAGATAGCGGCCCAGTGTCTTTGAGTGTCATGGCCTTTTTTCGGTTTCTTCAAAGGTATAAGCCAATGTCTTGAGTCGCGGAAGCGTACCTATTGGTTCACGGAAAAGAATCCTTGACGCTACTAGCCTGACTAGTAATGCAGGCTGCTACTGTAACTCACTGACCCCCATCCCATCATCGGCTCTCTCTCCTTCGCATCGCAACCTTGACACCCTTTCTCTCTCTCATCGGTTCCAATGTCATGCCCAATACAGTAATCATTACCAACGAAACATGTGAGACCGAGACTAGGAAAAGAGGGAGAGAGACAAGAGAGAACCCTGGCACCCCCGGTTTCTTGCTCTTCCCTGCTAGCACGTGACTAACCCACCAGCCAACGGGATACTCTGGAGAAGGCTCCGTGAAGCCAGAAAGGCGAGGGGGCCTAGCTGGAGGCGAGGTACTTTGTCTACTTGCGCTTGCGACCATCAATGGTATTGATTGGCTTTTACGAGTGGAAAGCCCAGCGCAACACATGGCCCTCAGGGTTCTTGTTTCTCTCTTGATAAGAAGGTACGTGTAAGTAGTACCATTGGGGGAAAATGGATAGCGAAATAGTCATGTTTAAATTCCATGTTACCTACTGTACAGAAACGGAGGTGGCAGTGTTCTTGGGCATCCATGTCGGCGTGTTTCTGGTAAAACCCATCCCCCAATCCGTATAAAACTGCTGCCTATCATGATCCCTGAAACTGCCCTTTACCAAAAGCTAGGAGAGCTGTAAAAGCTCGTCATCATCGAGTATATACGCGCGTCTACAGAAGGTGAGAAAACCAATAGAAAAATGCTCAAGACTCTTTATCCACCCCTTTTCTTCTTCTCACCCTGTCCCCATTCTCCTCTCTCTCCTCAATGGGACTGTGGTTCTCGAAAGCATCGGGTCCTCCGATCAAGGGATGACCGTCTAAACATGGCGGAATAGCCCCCGAGGTGCTGCAGTCTGCAGTATACATGCACCCGCAGATGAATACAAGGAGAAAACCTGCAGGCGGAGCGGGGTGGAGCCACCCCAGGGCGAAGGATTATACTGTGTAAGACTTTCAACTGCCCCAATTGTGCGTGCGGCGCGGTGCGGTCGCGGGTCGGTGCTTTTCATGTCAGAAGAAAAGAAGAGATGAAAAATGTCGGCACTTGTGTTTCTGGCACCACATAAATCCAAAGCGCTTTTTTGGCCTTGTGTGAGATGATCTGATAAGACAATCCATTGCCTGTGTACAGTAAAGTACGGTGTCCCCATTTACATTACCACATCCCTCATTCCACCTCCTCCCCATTAAGCCAAAAAAAAAAAAAAAAAAAAAAAAAAGAACTACTCTGTACACAATACAAGGGTAGGAGTACCTTATCCAGCATACCGGTGCGCTCCAGTTCTTTGGCAAAAAACCGTTTTGGATTTTCTTATTCATGGGGGAGAGAAGTAGGACCAGAACCGTTAATGATTGTCGCTCTTGGTCAAAAAGCTTATTTGGCCTTCCTTCGATTCTTCTCTCTCTCTCGCAATTCTCTTACCCAAGGTAAGGATGACAGCTGTTGCTGTCAATCTGACATGCATCTATATCCAGTTTGTAAAGAAAAATCCTCGTTGAAACGGGACGGGATTTTTCAGACCAATCCCAGGAATCTTGCATGTCACCATGTTTCCTTCTTCATCCTTCTCCTCCTTCTTTTTCCTTTGTTCCACCTTCTATCCGGCTCCCGCTTCCCAAAAGCCAAGGAGAGTGAACCAACCTGCCCAACCCCCGTTTTAGAAACGGGAACACAGCCCGATCCCGATGACGACACGGCAGGACCCCATCCACCCCCAAGGAAGACTGAAAAAGGAAGAAAGGGTATTGCAATGACGTCGCTTTGCGGCGCGCAAAAATAAAATAAAACACGACACCATGTAATTGGGTGTGGTTTCAATTGGGCGCTTGTATGGGATTCGTAAGTTTCCTGTGTGTTATTTTACTTTAAACTGTTCTTTATTTCCCTCAAACCCACCACGATAAAAAACAAGAAAAAAAAGCCCACCAAAATGCGGGTAGCTGACCAGGGATATGGGAGTGGGAAAAAGAAGGAGACTGTGATTTTGGAGTGACTTTCAACTCTACTGTGTAGTATATACATACCGTGTTTATGGGGTAGGGAAAAAAGGAAATGGTTCGTGCTTTTCCACCGCTTGCAAATGTACGTATGGATTTCTGCTCTGGTGTTTCTTTTATGGCGCTCCCGAGATCTTCAGGGTCCTCCCTCTCTGACGCATGGCCCGGGGTGTGGTCATCGAAAGTTTTGACGGGACAGGGGGACCCTCCAATACTTGAAGGTTTTTTGTACACACATGATTGGGACAAGACGTAAACGCGCAGAGGAGGAGAAAAAAAAGAACTCGAAACCGCGTCACAGGATTAGCCATGG